TTACTTTGCATAATTTAAGTATTTATATTTTTTATTTATTTTATTATATAACAACTGCTACTAACAAATCATAAAGTCACATTAGATGGTATTATAAATTAACTTTTTTTTCAAACTATTTATTTAAATTATTATTCTTTTGTTGAAACTCATTAATCAAGTTTTTTTTATTAAAATTAGTTATTTAATTTTTATGATATAACCAAATTTTTTAAAAGTTCGTACACAGTTGCTATAATAATAATAATTTCAATATTGTTTTATCTAATCACTTATTCATAATAAAAAAAGGTTACAAAAATTATATAACTGCAATCGATATAAAGATTAATATGTAAATTAATAGTTTATCGTTCATTTTTACTAATGATAAAATTTATAAAATGTGATATATTATTATCAAACTTATAATTTTAAATATTACATGTACATACATATAACATATAAATTTTATTTGCATTTGTACATGTGCACATGATCGAATGATAGAGAAAATTGGAAAATAGAAAGAAGGTGTCATCTTTTGCCAAACTTTACAAAATTGACTCTCCGGTCTCGCCCTGTTGGGTTTTTTCCTGAAGATGGAAGAAAGAAATCCAAAAATTTACAGAACTTTTTTGAAAATCAAACGCAACGGCTCCATGCTGCCATGAAAATTTCTTGAAACATCTCTTTTCAACTCTCACAAAAATTACTCTCGTTCGAAATAAAATCTCCAAGAACTACAATCACAGCACACACAGTGGGCGTCGTGTAAATAAACCCTCGAGTGAGTTGAAGCCTGAAGGTGAGGATAAAAGATGGGGGTGAAAAATCTCTGGGACATCTTGGAATCTTGCAAGAAAATTCTTCCTCTCGCCCATCTCCAGTAAGTTACTTCTATTCACAAAGAGAGAAAAAAAAGAAGCTTTTAGTTTCAAAAACCCTTTATGTCAGTAAATCTGTAGTTTGTTTAAACTCGGATTAATTTCTGATCTTTTATGGTGATTACTTTTTACAAGGAACAAAAGGGTTTGTGTGGATCTCTCTTGTTGGATGGTTCAGCTTCACAGTGTGTGTAAATCACACTGTCCATTGAAAGACAAGGTGTATTTGAAGGGTTTGTTTCACCGCTTAAGAGCCCTAATTGCTCTGAATTGCAGCCTTATTTTTGTTACTGGTACTCACGCCCCTTTGTTTTATGAAATTTACTTGAAAGCTTTAATTTTTTTCATGGTCATCAGCATTTTTAGTTTTATAGTTTGTGCATAAAAGGCGGCTCTTTTATAATGTGTAGAACTTTAATTTTGTATATTGCATAGAGAAATGAACCGTGTGGTAATATCCCTTCAATCAATTAAAATTATTTGCTAATGAAAGTTTAGTTTTTGAACTGTTGGTGGAANCAAAAAGAGTCCTTTTTACTATATGCTTGCACAATCTTTGGGATTTATTATACTTTTATTAGTAATGATTGGAAACTTTTATGTGCTCACAAACTTTGTTTTGATTGCCTGCCTAGATGGCTCAATTCCTGCCATCAAAGTGACTGCATATAGGCGCCGCTTAAATGGTGGAAATGAGGTAAATTTTCGCTCGGACGAGGTTTTCCTTTTTTATATTGAGAACCCTTTTTTCAACGAACTGTTTTTGGCGATGCAGGCAACTTTAGTTGCTGGAAATCCTCTTAATGTAGCATCACTGAAGAGAAATAAGGGATCCGAATTTTCATGCATGATAAAAGAAGCCAAATTTCTTGGTGCGTCCCTTGGGATTCCATGCTTAGATGGGTAAATTATTTGGCTGTACTTACATTTTTTACTTCTCATGCATTTAGTTTAATTTTTAGTTACCTATTTTGGATTCTAGAACCAAGATAAGTTAATTCCTCTATTATTGAGGAAAAAATGTGTTTTTGAGGAACTTTGTTTTTAAGCATTGTTGTTCTCATTATGTTACATCTGCATGTCCTAATCCATGTTAAATGAAAAATTAACTGGACAATAATCCTAATTTGTCCAAATTTTGTATTTCTTTGTGGCAAAAACATATGCAGAATTGAAGAGGCTGAAGCTCAATGTGCATTGCTAAACTCAGAGTCACTATGTGTAAGTGAAGGCTATCATTTTCTCTTGAAGTTGTGTGTCTATGATTTCGACTAATGATTTTATTTTCCCTATTACGAGACATTATTTCATGCAATAACTCTCATTCGATTTTTGGATTAACTATGATCATTAGGATGGATGCTTCACATCAGATTCTGATGCCTTTCTGTTTGGTGCAAGAACAGTTTATAGAGATATATGTCTTGGTGAGTCTGAGGTCTTCTTCTTTTCAGTACTTGGCTTATCGTACTGGTTTATTTATTTATTTATCTTTTTTTCTTTTTCTTTTTCTGATGCTCAGGAGAAGGTGGTCATGTTGTTTGCTATGAAATGGATGATATCGAGAGGAAACTTGGGTTTGGGAGGAACTCATTGGTAAATTCTAAATTCTTTTTGAATTTTCATGTTAGTAGTGACTTAGTGAGCAACATTGTTACAAATTAGCCTTTTTCATGTAGCTGTTCAGTCATTTAGTTTCTACAATATGAAGAAAATTGAATTATGCAGGATAAATTGCTAATTGTGCTTTGATTATACGAACTTGGAGAATCTTGTTTATTGTTTGTGTACTTATGGGAACTTATGGCCTACAGATTACTCTTGCTATTCTTCTTGGCAGTGATTATAACCAAAGAGTTCGTGGTTTTGGGCCGGTAAAATTAATTTCCTTTCTGATTTCTAT